AGCATGCGTGCTTGTTGTTTTTGTCTGCTTCCACTTGTCTTTGCACTAGGATGATGTCGGTGTAAATGTGCAGTCATATTCAATGTGTTCCCACTAGTGCTGTCAGCGTTAATCTCGTTGAAATGACGTTAACGCCATAACGCCGCAAATCTCTGTTAACGAGTTACCGCGGATCGCTCCGCGTGTGGGGCTGGACGGCGTCAACACGTTAACGAGCTAACTGCGCTAATGCACTAGTTCCCACCAATGTAATTGAGCATTGCGTGGCACATCCGACATACTGTTTTACTTTTGTCCATGGCGCGCTTACCATCAGGGTCTTGCTTCACATGAAAACCAAAATAGTTCCAAACACCAGATCTGAATGAGGGTGGGGGAGGTTCAATTTGCCATGTTGCAATGAGCTTAACTTCTGTCTCGCTAGCTTGCGCTGCACTCAGTGGATCTGCGCTCGACAGTGCAGCCTAGGCGGAGTAGTCAAACGCAGATCCACTGAGCTCTCAACACAGACAAAATCGTCAGAAGAAAAGTTGATAAAATAAAATAAAAATTTTGTATTGTTCGATATATGCGTACATATGCGTACCGAACCGAAAGCACTGTATCGAACGGTTCAATACCGATACGAGTATTGTTGCACCCCTAATATATATATATATATATATAATTACATTGTTGCTTATATTGCACCTTACAGCATATATAACTTTTATACAACTGTATATATCTGTGTAACTTTAAAATAAAAGATAAAAGTAATTTTAATGTAAAATCTACATACTGCCAATGGAGAGATGCCAAACGGTCTTTCATTGTACTTGTAGTTGTTCATGCTAGCAATAGCAGCTTCCTGTGACTGCGTAGGTTTGCTGACACTGCTGTTAATGGTGCAGCAGCTGCTGTAGCCACGATAGCTAGCATGGTGGTTAATTTGATACCTTTTGATGCATTTATTTCTATTTTTTTCTCTTTCTTTCTTAGCTTTTCAGCTCCACTTTTTCGCTTTTTTTTATCCATCTTTATTCTCTACTCCTACCACACTAAACTGTGTTCCGCATAGTGCATGAATGCACATGGAAGGGACTGGTTGCATTAGGATATTTGATTGGGTATTGCATTTGCTCATGAAAATAATGCACAGCAGCCCTTAATGACAGCTGTAGCCTGTAGAATGAAGAATTAAATTAGAATGGGAGGGAGAGCCTTCAGTTTTCAGGCCCCTCTTCTGTGGAACCAGCTTCCAGTTTGGATTCGGGAGACAGACACTATCTCTACTTTTAAGATTAGGCTTAAAACTTTCCTTTTTGCTAAAGCATATAGTTAGGGCTGGACCAGGTGACTCTGAATCCTCCCTTAGTTATGCTGCAATAGATGTAGGCTGCCGGGGGATTCCCATGATGCATTGAGTTTTTCCTTTCCAGTCACCTTTCTCGCTCACTATGTATTAACAGACCTCTCTGCATTGAATCATATCTGTTATTAACCTCTGTCTCTCTTCCACAGCATGTCTTTTATCCTGTCTTCCTTCTCTCACCCCAACCGGTCGCAGCAGATGGCCGCCCCTCCCTGAGCCTGGTTCTGCCGGAGGTTTCTTCCTGTTAAAAGGGAGTTTTTCCTTCCCACTGTCGCCAAAGTGCTTGCTCATAGGGGGTCATATGATTGTTGGGTTTTTCTCTGTATCTATGAAGCGCCTTGAGGCGACTTTTGTTGTGATTTGGCACTATATAAATAAAATTGAATTGAATTGAATTGAATTGAATTGAATTGAATTGAATTGAATTGAATTGAATTGAATTGTATAATTACATCAACACAGAGAAAAAAATATTGACCCATCAGCCCACAAGTGCATCAGCCCACCTGGAAAATGCCTGGTATGTCTGTCATGGTCCTGGATCTTTGACCCAGGGTTTAAGGTTTGCTTGACGTTATTCATTAATGGAACTATGAGATACGTATATTTAGTTTCTAAGGGACTTTGAGTTTTGCATGCTTATGTTTCAGGTTTTCAGTTCGTTTCCTTTTATATCTGATCTCTTTCTCATGTCCAGTCTGTCTTTGTCTCATCTGTGTTATATCTTCAGCGTCTCCTGTTTGTTTGATCTCCCTGTGTTTTGTCTACTTGTCTCCATGTTTGTTTATTCCCTTGACTAATGGATTGGGACATGGGACAAAAAAAGTATTCTTTGCCTTATTTGGCAAATAACAAACTGATGTCACATTTTTATATCCAAAATTGAGCCAGTTTCCCTGAGAAGTCAGATATTGATCAAGCATAACATTCAATTTCTGTTCAGAAAAGTAAATAAGGGCAATTTGCATCTGAAAACAGCAAGCAAATTATTTTTTCTTTAACTCTGTTTATTTGTGAGTGTTTGTGCAAGTATGTCTAAGTAGTGAAAGGCACATCTTCAGTGGGTTCCCAGGTAGATTGTTGGGTATTTCCACTGGACAAAAATGGAATATAATGATTTAACACAAATGACACAGAAACATTCAGGATGATTTACCATCATCATCTCAGTTCAGTAATTCAGACTGACTGCAGTAAAACACAGATTCCTGTTTTATGTGGAAATGCTTTTTTTTTAAAAAAAATTCCATATGAAAAAGAATTGCAATCAGCAAATCAGCAGCTTGGATATTGAGTCACATAATAAAATATGGTACTGTAATTTGGTAGTTGCTATATGTTATCACATAACAACCTGTTAAACTTGCTATAGAAAATACCAAAAAATTATTAAAACCTAATACAACACAATAAAATTATAAAATGAATATAGGTGTGGTATGAGATGGTAAAAAATTTTGGTGTCAATGTAGCTGAAACATTTATCAGAGAAAGCATTTAGCTGCATGTGGTGCAGAGTATGTTGAGCATCCATGTATTATCCACAGCCACAATCCTCTGACGGAGGAATCAAAATAGTGTGTTGATTCAAACTCAAACCAAAACGTTTGAGTACACTCAAAAGTAGGTATTGCCCAAAGATTTCCTTCCGATGATGTGAGGTCTAGTAGGAATGTGCTCAGAAAATTTAGTTAAGAGGTATTTTGATCTTTAAAGAAGCAGCAGTGCTTCCAAATGTTGTATGTGGCTAATTGACTCATATAAAGTCCCAGGTGTGAGAAATGCTGCATGTGAAAGATATGTTGAAATGCTGGTGGTATACAAGTCTGGCCTAAATCTACTGTCAGAAGGACTGAAGCAATCCAGGAGTTCAATTAAGTGTCTTTAATAAATTCATACAGACAAAATGAATAACATTGTGTCTCTGTTTTTTGCCAGCCTTAATTTGAATTTTTTGCAGATAGGAGTGAACGTATGTATGTGATAATTTGTGTGTGATTTTCTGAGACACAAACAGATAATTCTATAATTAGTAAAGTTATAAATACTGGGATGAATAATGATAATATCACCTTCTGCCGAGGTAGGACACTCTGCACAAGGCACAAGCAATATCTCACAATGTGTACAAGACATCTCACACGTGAGGTCAAAATTAGCAACAGTTTTGGAGCTGAACAGTCCTTTTACTTATTGTTAATACAGGCTGTAGCACTTGGGCACCTTGTGTGGCAGAGTGAAGTACAAGTATCTCTAGCTCTCAAGACTACCATGACCTGGATTGCTGTGAAACTACAGTGACTGAATTGCTGATTCATTATTAGATACTGCTTACAATGTTCTCACTCAACACAGGTAGATATCTCCTGTTCTTTGGATACACTATTGACATTGTTCTTGACTGAGCAGACCAGATGTCCCGAGATGTGATGTTTCAGAGTGATGATGTTAGTCTCATTGTTTCCAGGAAGGAGCTCAGCATCTGTCAGTGTGCGTCCATCCAGAGTCCAGCTGTACTGAGGACTGTCCCCTCCCTCAGAGGAGCAGGACACCCTCCTCTCTCCCTGGGACAGACACTCAGAGACCAGCAGGACAGAGGACACAGGAGCTGAGAGAAACACAGACAGATGAGTTTAGATTTAAAAACCAGAATTGTGAAAATTCTTTACAGTCTCAAATGAAGAACAATTAAAGCACAAAATACATGTATCTGAACATTTTTTATATTTATTGTATAGATCAGCAAAACATTGTTAAATTAAATCTATTAATAGCTTTATTGAGAAGAAAAGGAAAGGAATTACCTTGAATAAGCAACTGTAAAGTCTGCTCGCCTGATGATCTGCCATCTGAATCAAAGGTTATAAGGCTATAATTACCACTGTCTGTCCTGCTTAGATCACTGATTCTAAATGTTCCATTACTGGGTAAGATTAGAGATTTGTGTGCTATGGTATTATAAATAGCCTTATTCCCTCTCACATCTAGTATCTTTAATGAATCCTTTAACAAGTAGTATCTAGGTATTTCAGAGGTGCTGTTCACTAGCTGGATGTCCACGGTTCCTCCCAAAGCTCCATAACACTGAGCATCATCCTGTCTGCCATCACAGTAAGTTTCCACACCTGCAAATAAAAAATTAGACAAAAGCAAAACTGTCAAACTTTTGAGTGTTACTACCAGAAAGACTGCAGTAGCATATGCAAATGTTTACAATGAACAGAAATTTGTAAGCTTCATGATTATTTTCATATGGTTCCCACAGGTGGGCACAAATTAATGACTGAATTCCATCAACAGAAATAGTGGTTTTGTGGCTACTGTCGTTTTGTTTTAGTAGTAGTTTGTTGTTTACTCAGGCCTGCTGGAAATCAAAAACAGAATATGTATCTAACTGTTATGCAAAACCTCAATTTTTTTGCTGTTCTTAGGGTCTAAAAAACTGACTTTCGCAAGCTGCTCTCATGTGGCAGTTATTCATTGAAAATGAATGCAGGAAGTGAAAATGGAAGAAATTTTAACCCACAAAGAAAAGGTTTGAGTACTCCTGAAACAGGGGACAGTTGTGCAAAAATGCTGCAAATCTTATCAAATGTATGTAAATTAGCAGCATCACTTCCCAACAGGGAAAATGTTACCTTGAATAAACAAATGTAGAGTCCAAACATCTGATGTCCTGCCATCTGAATCAAAGGTTTGAAGGGTATATTTACCAATGTCAGTCCTGCTCAGGCCATTGATCCTAAATGTCCCATTGCTGGGAAAAATGAGATATCTATGTGCAATGTTATTAGAAATAACCTTATCCCCTTTCACATCTAGTATTTTTAATGAATCCTTTAACAACTGGTATCTAGTTATTTCTGAGGTGTTGTTCATCAGCTGGATGTTCACAGTTCCTCCAAAAGCTCCATAACACTGAGCTCCATCCTGTCTGCCATCACAGTAAGTTTCCACACCTGTAAAGAAAAACAAAAAAGTAAACAATTTATTCTTTTTTTTTTTTTTTACTTTTACTTATTATTTAACAAGTTCACCTTTCATAGCTGTATTTTTCAGATCCATATTAGTTAAATAGTTTAAAAAAATTAAATATAAAATAAGATAAAACTGTATTTGCTATTATTTTGTTCAAATTCATTTTGATAGTCTCTAAAAAAGAGAGAGAAAGCAGAAAATGCTATATATATATATATATATATATATATAAAGATTACCAAAAAATCTTATATTTATATAAAGTAGCAGCTTTATTAACCAAAAAAAGATTACCTTGAGTAAACAAATAAAGAGTCCGCTCGCCTGATTTTCTTCCATCTGAATCAAAGGTTTCAAGGGTATATTTACCAATGTCATTCCTACTCAGGTCATTGATCCTAAATGTTCCATTACTAGGAAAAATGAGAGACCTATGCTCTATGGCATTAGAAATAACTGTATTATTTCTCCCTGCTAGTATTTTTAATGAATCCTTTAACAACTGGTATCTAGGTATTTCAGAGGTGCTATTGATCAACTGGATGTCCACAGTTCCTCCCAAAGCTACATAACACTGAGCTCTATCCTGTCTGCCATCACAATGAGTGTTCACACCTGCGAAAAAAAAGTGAACAAATAAACAAAGTCAAAATCAAACCCAGATGATAAAATCAGTGACTGAATTTAATTTAGTCAAATATAAGTAATAGAAGTAAAAACCAGCTAAAGTGTTAAAATAAAACTCATAAACTGCAGTTCAACAAATCCTTTGATGAATTCAGCTTAATTTTATTGATGGTGCTAGATCACGTGGCAGCAAAACCTCTTTTTTTATTATAAAATTAAGCATTAATGAAGAAGAACAAAACGTTTAGTAGCTCACCATAAGAGACACCGAGTAACATAAACAACAGTCCAATGACAGCTTCCATGTCTGCTCACTGTACAGCCCCTTATGATCCAGTCAGCAACTTTTCCTTCAATAACAGAAGTGTGTGTGCTGCGCTACACGCTGCTGTCAGCTTGTACTTCACTTTTCATTCGCTGAGAGGATGAAAGGAAGTGACATCATATTTGATCCCCGTTTTACTATCAAGAAAAAAAAAACACTGTCAAAAAAAAAGCTCTTCAAAAGCAACATCTAGTGGTTGAATATAAATTGAATACATGTGTGAGCAGTGAAATGAACCCTTTCATGGTATTCAGGTCTGACCATTTTCAAATTTTTTAAGTATAATTTTTTTCTGCCTAAAAATATTTGGGGTAATGTTTATTTTCTGCAACATGTGTATATTACCGAAAGTAGTCACTCACTCATCCAAATCATTTATGTATTCCAAACAGGTCTTGTCAGATAGCATGTTGGACATTAACTATCCATGAACAGTATTGTACACAATATTCACTAATTGATAGGGGATCATTTCAGATATTTAACACTCAAGGTTTAAACATTGAACTCCTCCACTTGGGGCAGGAACTCATCCCCGACCCGGAGTGGGCACTCCACCCTTTTCCGGCTGAGAACCATGGCCTCAGATTTGGAGGTGCTGATCCTCATTTCCGCTGCTTCACACTCGGCTGTGAACCGTTCCAGTGCGAGCTGGAGGCCTTCACCCAATGAAGCCAACAGAACCACATCATCTGCGAAAAGCAGAGATGAGATTCTGAGGCTACCGAAGTGAAAGCCTTTTTTGCAATAAAGGCGTACAATCCACAAAAACACTTCATGCAAATTAATAAATACAGTTCTTATTATTTCATTGTATAACTTGAACATAACACAATAACTATCAACCAGCATTTTCATATAAGGGCTCCCTCTAGTGGTACAAAATAATAATACTGCTTCAAACTTTTCATTGACGGGTTACTCTGGCAATATTCAGTTCAATTTGTTTTTATTCGGTAATTATTATTATTTTAATTTTATCACACCACCTAAAACTACTTTACCCATCAAGTTCAAAGCCTCACAGTATTAGAGAAACCCAACACTAACACCTGTCCATAATTAATTGGAAATTGGACATTTTACCCTGGTTATCATAGTGAAAATAATATTGATAATATTCTGTTATCAATCCCATCTGGTGATGACACATGTTGTCTGCTTGTCTCTTCTCAACTTCTTGTACTGGCTTGTTTATTGCTGATGGCTTCACTGAGGTCAGATTAGGGATGGGTATCGTTTAGGTTTTATCCGATACCGGTGCCAAACC